ATTCGTATATACCAGCACCCTCCTGTTTATTACACACTGCGCACAAATTACAGGACATAAAATAATACAGAAAGACGACATTCGAACGTCGTTCTATTAAACTCCGGCAGATTTGTTTGGCAGTCTATTTCGAGAGACATAACATTGAAATTTTAAACAAACCGACGCCGGTGGCTACCTACGTTCGATGGATGTTTTGCGGTCCGGGAATTTTGCTTTTCAATTCGATTTGTCCAAATTCGTGGGTTGATTAAACGCGGCGTGGGCAAGTTGCCACCTGTCACGTGATTTTTTTCTATAAGAATAAATTAAATTATCGGCTCCGGTTTAAATGGGTTTATAATTGAGTTAAATTATGGAAGTCGTAAAATATAGAGCTGGTTTATAACAGGTGGGTTTTTGATGGCAGTTTTGCCACATGGAATTATGGAATGCATTAGCGGCGCTGCGACAACGGTTGTAAAAATAGCAATCAAGGATTTCCGGACGTTCGTTATCAATCGACAAAATGGACACTAAAATGACAACTTTTGACGAACTATAATTAAAATAGACAACGTTTGAAAGAACTTGTCGTTGGTGTCTTCACAAATGGCGCAGTCGGTAGGATTCGAACGGACAAAAAATTTAAAGCGAAACTCACCCTCTGCCCGTCCGATCGCAGTCTGTCGCGTTCGATTCCGTCATCCCCGTCAGACGAAGCCATCTATGATCTAACATGTGTGCCGAAATACCAATATGTGTTCCATGCAAACAATCCGCGCTGAGCTCATCGTTTTGAGGTCTCGCTCCGACTCGAACTTGCCAACAATTTCACAATTTTGCGAACAATATCGCAAACTACATTAATCCAGCCGGTTTCGTACCTTGTAAAACTCCTCGTCTACAATTAAGTTATTAACCAGACGAACGGGATTAATTAGACGAGTTATGATGGAGTCAAGAGCCGCAGTCGAGTGCCGTCTTCCTCTGTACGTTTTTTTCTATCGACGGAGCTTTTATTATGCGGCGTGTACGTTGACAAGTGGTTGAAACTGACATCAAAACCGAAATCTGTGTACTTTATCTTGTAGCGCGAGACAAACAAATGTATAAGTTACTTTGAGTTTGTTTGATTGCTACGTGAGAACAAACTTTGCCAACAAAGAGCTGTGTGCATGGAACCCACAAACATAGTCCGGAGCTCCGGAAACTCCATCTGCTTAGCTTCATTAATAAATGAGAGAGGGCAAATTGCTTTCATTTAAGAACAGCACACCGCAAAATAAATTACATTAATAGATAATCTCCGGCGTGGCGGAGATAAGACGAGACGTTCGGTAAATTTTGACGCGGATTTTGGAACTTCCAAAATGGCTGACCGGAAATATGTTAAACCGAGGACGCTCTCAACCGAACCTGTTTCTTGCTAAATTAGTTCGTTTTTCTCTCATTTTTTGGAAATGTCAATTTAATAGACGAATTATTGTTATTTTAATTTTACAAGGCTTTTGTTTGACATGCACAAAGGAAAACGTCAACTGCTATACATTTATACACAGAATTCAACTGTAGCGTGTTAAAGTAATCAGCAACCTTTAGACCTTATCAACAGAGCGATGTAGTAATTAATATTGTGAGCTTTAATCTTGACAGAAGTCATTTTTTGACTGCGTTCTGGGATAGTGCTGACAATTAGCAATTAATTATTTTGAGCGTTTTATCTTTGGGGCTTTGTATAATAGGTTAAGGATATAGCGTGTGATCGAAAAAAGGAGTTACGGCTGGCTATGTTTATAATTCTTAGTTGACACTTTGTCCTACGAATGTCATAACATTTAAAAGCAATTTACATATTTCTTTATTTATTCTGCGACATTTCTTTGTTATTTAAATTTGCTTTCGCATGAATTAAATTTGTTGAAGACATTCAGCGTGCAGAGAAAAACATAAGTATATAAATTTTGTTCATCGTTCGGGTGATACTGCGTCCGTTGTATATTTGCATTCACGAGACATCGTTTACCGCGTCCGCTTATATTTCGACGTTCTGGGTTATTTAACGCCAATTTAACAGCAAACATTCACTCCACACTGAATCGCTCCACTTTTGAAAATCTCCCGTGGCCGCGATTAACTCGAACCGGTGTAACCGCGACTAAAACCGTGTACTTAATCAAATATTCATGTGAGCGATAGTGGCGCCCATCAATAATCATTACAAGAACACGATAGAGCATGTCGGTGTAATTCACGTGTGAGGTTAGGTATTTTTAATGCGATTTTAACATTGAAATGGACTTTGTGCGTGATAGGCGGCAGTAACCGTGAGAACGGGCCGGTGCACCGGCCAGACATCGTGGAGGGGGCAGAATAGAAGGGGTGGAGGCGCCGCCGTGAACACATCCCACATTCCGGATGGGGCACGTGGCCCCCCGGTCTCATTAACCCATGATTAAAAACAAAGGCGGCCGTTACGGCACCGGCGGGTCTCTTTAGCTTGCGGGACACGAAGGGGGAGAAAAAACAAACGCGCAGACGGTGAGACGGCACGACAGGAGATAGGATCGGGGCTGGAAATGCACCTGGACGCGGGGGCGGGAGGATAACTGTTGATTGGGAAGGGGAGGAAGTTGGAGATTGATTAAGCCGTGAATTCAATTAGAAGTAGCGTAAATTTTATTGGGTTACTTTAGATGGTGCAGCTGTCAGGGGTAATGTGGTTGTCGCGAAAAAGTGCGAAAGTGGCGCAGCAACTTGGATATCAGTTAGAAAATCATCATAATTCGCTTGATGTTATTCACAATACATTTTAGCGTCCGTGTGCAACAATTTCCAATTTAACTAACATTTTGCGATTTTTTTCCCTCGTTGTTTGTATTAAAATCTGGCCGTAAATTTGGCGTTTAATCCCGACCCCGTCGATTTTCGATCTGTGTCATGTGCGTCGCATTAGAGCGCTTAAATTGGAGCCAGGTTGAGCCGTCTTGAAAAAGTGCCAGTAAATAAATTTCACACCACGCTTAATTGAGTGTCTTGTCCGCGCCATCCTCCTTTTCCTTTCTTTTGAAGTCCGGCAATCTTCTTTCTACCAATTAAAAAATGAAATCCCCTCGCATAAATCACGGAAACCCTCACATAAATATGCGTCCCGATGACACGTGAATTTATCGTCGGGATAAATTACGCAATCGCGACGAGATAAAAACGCGCGCCGATCCCAAACACGTTAATTTCGTATCAATTTTCCGTTTTCTTCCCGAGGAAATTGTTTCGACTTTTCTTGACGGATAGCCGGGCGGCTGGCCTTTGACCCGGCAACTTCCTCGGAAACGAATGTGTGGGCTTCTGGAGATTTTTGTAGGCACTTTATTAGGCTGTCAGCGGCGGAGATAATAGTAATTTATTTTTAAGTGTCCAAACAAATAATCGTCGCGGCTGTCGTTGCCGGCAATCAGTCATTGATCTCGACGTTTTCCACGGGAAATTTTTAAAACCGTCGCGCGTCACGCGATCTTGTGCCACGATTACATGAATTAACCAGAAGCAGGTGCCAAGTGGAGGCGGCTCGTTACCTTTGGCTTATTGAAAAATTAAAACGCCCTCGTTGTGAAATGAAGTGCCTAGGAAAGTGCGAGAAAAACTGCTTTAATAATAATTTCATTAATTTGCTTTTTAAAAAGAAAGTACGACGTGACTCCTGCAGCCGGGGAAAAACGGCTCCTTACGTGCTTTCTGCTCTAGATGGAACGAGATTAATATTTACAGTGGGTATAAGTGCACTCTCTTATCTATTTGCGAGACATTTCCAATGGATTTTTGCGCAAAGGAGACACTGCCAGGGAAGTCTGTTTTAATATAAACGAAGCGAGTTTTAGACGGAACGGAAATCCAAATGAAATAAAACGCTGAAATAATCCTCATTATTAAAATCCTGAAAAACATCACTCCGGCTTGGGTTACAAACAAACACGCACCAGAAATCACGAAACGAACGAGAAAAATGGTCCTTCGGAATCAAAGTGTCGCTTTTACGGTGGCTTTCACTCAAAAAATTACAAGTTATAATACTGTGTTGTACTAGTTTTTTTGTAACCTTTTAACCCCATTACAGTTTGTTATTAGGAATAATCCACTAATTCCAAAATTAATTAGTAGTATGACAAGTACAAGACAAAAAATTATTCGTAACGTTCGATCATATTAGGAGTGTTTTATTTAACGTTTACGTGCTCTGCCTTTAACACAAGACCTTTTAAAACCCATCGATTTCCTCGCAGAAATTTAAGTTCAAGAACTCGCAGTATCGAACCGACACTAACAGAGTGTTTCCGTTTCGACTCGCATCCTTCCCCAATTAAGTCCTAAAATTGAAACATTGATAAAGCCTCAAACGCAACGTGCCAGTAATTGGTGATGCCCTTACTAAACAAACTGTCTAAAAGCCCCTTCCCGAGTCTACTCTCCTCCCATCAGTTCCTATCGCAAAGCACGTAATACTCTTAATTGAACCAGCTCATAACCAGCAAAGCCTCCGCTATCACATCCTCTTTTTATCGCACTCCCATCCAAAAATACCCGAATGATTAACCATCTCGGCCATCGAAAAAAGGCGCCGATTAATCACTCCTCGCATCTGGTCCCAATTAAACTGAAATGATTTCGTTTCCGACCAGGGCCGGATTCGGCTCCACAACCAACCCAAACCCCATTCTAGCCTGTTTATCACTATCAACATCATTACTATTATCATTATTATTATTATTATCAGGAAAAAAACTAAATTGGATGGGTATGACCGTTTAAAATCAACTAGAAAAAATCACTTTCGGGTTTCGAGGCCGGCCCGGCCCTGCCCGTGCCGGAAAAAGCCCTCTCTCGGGACCGGCGAGTACCGACTATTTGCGTTCCAATTCTGAAGAGCAAACACAGCCGCCCGTAAATAAACACGTGTCGTTATAAAACATTAACATGACGATTAATCATTCACGCCGTGAATATTCATGCTGCTTCGGACTTACCTGTGCTGGGGGGCGGCGCCGGCCGCCGCCATCGGGGACCTGGCGGGGTAGCTGGGGGCGCGCGGGCTGCCGCTGAGCACGTACTCTGGAACAACACGCTCTGTCAACAGGAGAAACGGGTTGGACTCTTGCAGCGACTCAAGTCAAACAACTAGGATTAATAATAACCCGCTCGGGCGATGAACAAACAATAAAATGTAAATACGCATCGGAATTGGGGATTAATTGCATTCGCGGAGGGGTGGCGAGGTAGGCGAGAGAAGTGAGCAAAGGTGCGACGCAGGGAGGCGTTCGGCGACCCTGGCTGTTTGCAGATAGGTATTTACGGGGTGCGGTGGATGCGGCGAAGGGTGGCGGTTAGACGATTAATGGAAAGACGGTCCTGGATTATGAGGTCCTCGGGTGTGTATAAAGCTTTCGAAGAGGCGGAAAGCTTAGGAAGGTGGTGGGGGTGGGGAATTACGTGAGTATTTTATGCATACAATATATCGTCAAAGCGATCTGAAACTATTCAGCGTGTTTGGTTGATGTGGTAAACGATACAGTTTTCGAACCACTATTTCCCACGCACTTTCAAATGGAGATAAATTCGGTAGTAAACCATACAGTTACTAATTTTCGGCTTAAAAAACACAAACTTTATTATGTAATTTACCCAACATTTATATCAAAAAATTGTAAAATGACGTCATCAGAAATAAACAATTTTTGACGCGTGCTTTTAGGCAAGTTAACTTAACGTTTTTACACTGTTATTGCTGTAATTTATAAGCTCAACTGTGCATCACTGACTACTTAACATTAATCTCTACGAAGTAAATTCTGAGGAAAGAGCAAGAAGAAGAGATTTATTTTCTGTGTCGCTCTTCTCTTTCCTAAACTCTTCGTTTTTATTGATTTTCATTTCATGAAGATGCTCCTTAAGAAAATGGGCGAAACATCGACCCCTTTTCTATAAAAATGAAGACAAAAAGACGAAAAAAGACAATTATAAAAGGCGGCAAAGAGAACAAAAAGGCCATAAAAACTAGCTCAAAAAATGCGATTAGGAAAAAAGACGAGAAAACAAATTACGCTTCAGAAAAAAAAACACTTTTTTTTAACTGATACTATTACATAAATTATTCGTAAAAAATGGAAACAGTATCTAAACTAAATTTGATAACATAGATCTCTAAAAAATATATTAGCTTTCAGAGAAAAATTTTAAGTCAATTACTCAATTATCCGATTTTCCGATTTCTTTGATTTTCATTTTTTCGATTTTACAACACATATTTCGTTTTTGCGATTTTGCAGTTTTTAATTTTTAATCTTCAGGTGTTTCAGTTTTCATTTGTCAATTTTTGATTGATCTGCAATTTTTAGATTTTTTAAAGTTTTCACTTTGTACTTTTTCGTTTTTTCATTTTTGATTTTTCAATTTTAGAAACTTTACATTTTGTCCATTTTTTTCATTTGAAAAGTTGTAAACTGAAAAATCGAAAATTCGTAACATTGAAAAACTAAAAATCGAAAAACTTAAAAATAGAAAGATAGAAAAACTGAAAATTTAGATATCGCGAAATTGAATAATTAAAAATCGAAAAATTGAAAAAGTGATTCTTTTTTTAAATTATAATTATTACATATTTAAAGTGAAAACTAGCAAAATTGCAAATCAAAAATTGAAGAAACGAAAAATGGAAAACCGAAAAATTGAAAAATTTCAGATTGAAAAAATGACAAATTATAAAATCACAACATTGGAAAACCAAAAAAATTTGAAAAAACAATTTCTCGATTTCTTTTACTTTCAATTATTCAAATTTTCGATTTTCAATTTCCCGAATTTTCAATTTTTTGATATTTCGATGTCCACTTCAGTAAAATTGTGAAGGAATACTTGTTAGGAAAGGCGTATTATTGTTTTGACGATTTTATTAAAGAAAAGTTTATGTAGCGTCCCCGAAAATGTGTATGTCAAATGAGTATGTCAAGTAATTTGACATTTCTCTTTTTATTGTTTATTGTGTAGTATATATATGTGACTTATGCAAAAAACTTGTATGTTTATATGCATTAATAAATTATTATTATTATTCGATTTTTGGATTTTTAATTGTTCGACTATTCGATCTTTCAGTTTTTCGATTTACGGATATATATTTCGATTTTTCGGTTTTTTAATTTGTGAATTTGTTCAATTTTTCGAAAAGTCAAAAAATCGAGGGATTAAAAAAGTTACTTTTCTCAATTTTCGATTATATGTATGTACAAATTTTTGATTTTCAATATTTAAATCTTTTAATTTCTCGAATTTTTAATTTTTTGATATTTCAGTTCTTCGATTTTTCGATTTATCACTTTCCTAAATTTTCGTTCAACTTTTAATTTTTCTAAATTTTCGGTATTTTAGTTTCTTTGTTTTTCGATTTTTTTGGTTTTTAGATTTTTCGGTTTTTGGACTTATCAATTTTTGAGGTTTTCCGATTTTTCAATTTTTTAAAAAGTCGAAACTTGTAAATCATAAAATTGCAAAATTGAAAAACTGAAAAAAAAGGATAAAAAAATTTCGACAAAAAGCGGGGAAGAGTGACAAAATAACAAAATACGGCTGCAAAAAGAGGAAAAAAAAATGACAAGGAATGTCCAAAGAAGGTGGCCAAAAAACGCAACAAAATAATGCGACTAAAAGAAGAGTCAAAAAAGGCTAGAAAAAGTCACAAAAAAGACTACATAAAAAGGGACGAAAACAGAGAGATTTATTAGGCTGTAAAAAAAAGACAAGAAAACAAGTTACGCTTAAAAAAAACAATTTTTTTAATTGGTACTACATATTTCATAAATTAATCGTAAAAAATGGAAACATTCGCTAAATTAAATTTCACAATATAAATCTCTAAAAATATGTATATTAGCTTTTAGAGATAAATTTTAAGTCTATTTCTTTTGCAGAAATAAATTTTTAAAACAACATGCTGCATACACTTTAGATAATCGATACATCGAAAACCAAATAAAAATTTAAATCAACTGCAGTGTGATTCCTCTCAATTTTTGTATTATTGCTCTGCTACTGTTATTCCAGAGTGGAAACATTAAAATGTTATGTAAACTAAGTGGATGTCAAATATCCTGTTTTCATAAATTTTCAAACTGTTGAGTTTATTTATACCACGAACATGTGAAGGGGAAAAATCGCTGATTTCAATATTGAAAGTAAATTTATAAACATCACTGCCTCAATCGACTTACAGAATGCATAGTATGGAAATACTATCCTCGGGGCTTCTACCTCACTAACAATGTTTGTAAACATTTTAAATTTTTAAATCTTTCTCCAACAATATTGTTTACAAAAACGAATCTACGTTGCTTGTTTTATGAGTTAAATGTAGTTTACTATTTGTTTCGAATGCAGTAAAATACATTTTCCACTACATACACAAAACAAAAAATTTAAGTAATTTCTAGTACTTGTTTAACATCGACTGTTTATGTTTCACATTCACATCGTACTATGCATTTGTGTTAAGAGAAACTGAAATTTGATTAATTTTGTCTCCTCAACACAGAGGAGAGTATTAATTAATTAATAGAGCACACTCGGTTTTTCCCAAAAAATATAGTGGAATAGCACGAACAGTACAAGAAACGAAAAAAGTAAAGAATCTCGGATTTGCCGTGAGCTTTCTACGCGTTGAAATATCAGCACTAAAAGTTCTCGGATTGCGATTTCATTTATTTAGCTCCTCGTTAGCCGAGCTTCGAATTGTCTTCCCTCAAAAAATCGCCGACCTCCAAGTTCGGATTCTAAACGACGGCACAAGTTGTAAGCTCGCTCATAACTCCGTTTTCCGCTCCACCAATCGCAATCAGTCATCGGACGTGAAGCGGGCGATCGTTATTAAATCCGTGCACACAAGGGAAGATGTTAATATGTGATATAGGAGCGCAACCCCTTCAATCGAGCACATTGTGTTCGTGACACTGTCGTTTCCTTGATTAGCACAACTACTTGTCATTACAGTGGATGCTTCAAACGCCACAACAAAGCCATAACGACTACTGCACAACTATATTTCGCAAATCACAAGGTGAAATCGCGCAACTAACGCACCTCCTTTAAAACAATAAACTCGAGGGCGTGTGTGTGTTTGGGGAAAATTAATGCCGACTCTGTCAGTGACTGCTCCACGGCTTTCCTTTGCCACCATTATACTGGATAGGTGTGTGTGCGGATAATTAATTCGCATTTCATTTCGGCGAAAACCCGACGCGAGAGGGATGAGAGACTCGCGGACGTGTCAAGTTCAAGGCTAGACGAGCTGAAGGGTTACCATAGTACACAAAATTTGGCACCTGTATAGCGCCATCGACCGGTTTCGTCGTTTCGATACCTGCAGCACGACTATTCCTTCCCCTGCGCACATTTTAATATAACACATCCCGAGAAAATCTCGAATGCGGAATTATGCATCAGCCATATATCAGGCGATGCTCCCCGCCAATTTAAATTTAATCAGCGAAATACACTCACATGTTCGCCAACGTGTTGCGAAATGGAATAAGAAAAATTGCCGCCATAATTCCTGATGGTGTCGAGTTGACAATTGACTCACCCCTCGCTACAGTTACAGCCAAGGGAGCAATGCATCAAACAAACGCGGGGCTGTTTATAAACGTTAGCCTTCGATGTATCGAATTAGTCGAATTTTTATGTGCCCCCATAAACGCGAACAAATACGCGATATGACGATCGAAGAATTTCATTTGGAAAAGTTCAAGGCTGGAGGGGCGACGAGCGATCAAGATGCACGTACAAGTGAGCTAATTGCTAATTGAGATTTGAATCCGGAGGCTGCGGGTGGGGCACCCAGCAGGCCGTGAAATATGGAGGATGGCTGATAAGGGGCGAGGCGGCAAGAAAACTGTTTATCTAGATTTTTTAGATAGGAGAGGGTAAACAAAAAGTGATACAAATGCGAAGGCAAAATCTTATGTAAATGTTACGCCGGGTGTTTTTTTAGTAAACATGTTATACGTTCGGGGCAGGAAAAAAGCTGCTCGAGATTCGCATCGGTGGAGAGGTGGGTCAGGGTG